AAAACTAGGAAGGCTCGGTTTTATTAGGGGGACAAGGCCTCATGGCCTTTGTGAGCTTATAACACCATGCATTATGTCCATAGCCGGTTTAATACATATTGTAATCCCCGGATTAATAAACCGCCCCCCTCCCCACGTGGAAGGTCTAGAAGGTCCTGAAGGTCTGAGGTACGATTCATGAGGTCCACCTCCCCTGAATAATCTGCTCAGGGAGTAGTGGTAGTGGTAGTGGTAGTCGTACTACTAGTCGTAGTAGTGGTGCTTGTAGTAGTCACAATAAGTTTAAACAAGCGCAAACAAAAGGCCAGGGACACAGGATCAAATTAATAGGGGGTAGTAGTGCATATTATTGATGGGGGACCGGCCCTTGTGAGGGGTACCCTTTGTGAGCTTGTCAAGTGATTGTTTTTAGTTGCTTTTCAATAAGGCAATTTATAGGCCCTGAGCCCTAGACATTTTTTTGGATTGCATCAAAAAGTTGTAGGTTGTTGGTGGTAGGCGGTAGGTGGTGGTGGTCGTAGTAGTAGTAGTCGTCGTCGTCGTAGTAGTAGTAGTAGTACGAAAAATTGACCTGGTTGTGGGCTCGGTTTAATTGGGGGGGTTTCTAGAAAGTACACTATTAGGGGGGCAATTTAGCTCCAATAATACAAAATAATACTGTCAATTTGGGTGAATTTGCGCGGCTGTGTGGGCTCGATTTAACTATAGGGGGGTTATCAATCCTAACTTTGCATTAAGACGCAACCATTTGTTGAATCTTGCCTTTTTCACAAAATGTGTTTTTCCGAAAGAAGCAACAGAAAATACAAAACAAATAATGAACGAAAAAGGAACAAGACTCTGACACAGGGGAGAAGAAAAGTCAAACAGCAACCAACCATAACCAACCAACGTATATATGGGGATGGGAGGACGACTCAGCGGGGATTCTGGATTGAAAGTTGGTTGTATTCTTTTCTAGTTCCCACCATCCTTCGTGGAAAATGGCTCAGTTGAATGCTGGATTTTGCACCAGTCAGGAACCGGTTTGTAGGACTCTCATGACTGTCATCAGTAGGTCGGCAAATTTTAAGAAGAAAGAGCACCAGGGTAGTTTCATGTTCTTCGCATATTGTGTGATATTAATTTGATAGTCTTATACAGTGTCCCTTATGTTTTACAACATTATACAGTTATACAAACAAAAATCATGTGATGAAATAATGCAAACACCGTACAACATAATATATCACTTTTCAACTGCATTCCGTGTTAAAATCATATTCCTTAGTCGTATTGTTTTTCATGTTTGATTCCTATTTTTGTCGTATTGTGTTTCATTTTAAAGAGATTTGAAGACTTAATCAAGAAAACAGCAACCCTGAGGATCCTGAAGGAGTTTGTATCTCTTAGAAAGAGTTTACACACAGTTAGAGTAGTTATTGCTTGCCATTTATGGAACGCCACACAATTTCGAGCTTCAATGCTGGCGCCCCTGGGAGGGCTTGTGATCCTCTCATCACCTTTATTGATGCAGGCAGTGCCAAGCGAACCCAATTGGTTTGTACTGTCGCGCTGGTCTCAGAAAAGTGGTTAGATTCGAATATTTTGTAAGGAGACAGCATGTGCACACCCAAAGGATTCAACTGGCCATGGCTTGTTGGGCTCTTTAAGAACAGTTGACCTGAATCAGGTAAAGGCGCATGTGCCGCATGTGCGCAAAACGCAGCACGCCCCACCCAACAGTGCTGTTGACAGGCCATAGTCACCTGAAACTAGTGGAGGCGGAGGCTGTTCGGATATAGAATTGTGCAGGTCCCCAGATATGTTCAGGGTCTTACTGCCCAGCGCAGAGGTTTAAGAACAGTGCTGTCGGAGTTTGCGACATTGCTGCGCGTACCATGCGTTGGGGTAGCTCAGAAGCTTTTGTGAAGAGAGTGCATGGTGTGATTATAATCAATCAAGCCAAAATTCAAAATAACACTAGAAGCCAAGTCAATCATTCCAAGGCTTCAAGGGTTGCGGTGCGTTCAATCCTACAACTGGTACTTAGCTTCTTAGTGATAGTGGAAGCTTCACGTGCTTTCTACCCCGTGCACCTTCCCAGCCTACCCTCCCTAAAGCACTATATGTGTTGGGCTTTTAAGCCCAGGCTAACGAGTAGCTAGTAGATGCTAGTGGTACAAAGTAGCTTCTAAGTTCTAAGCTTAAGTCAAGTGGCTAGCCTAGGACGCAGAAGAGCTCAGGCTTCTTCAATGAAGCTTACCTGAGGGCGGGGGATTTTGGACCTTAAGAGGATGTGTGCTTTGGAGATTCCTCAAGCGTACCCGAAGACTATTAGGTTGTAGGCCATCACTAGGACTAGGGTGGAGGCCATCGCTATTAGGTTGGAGGCCATTGCTATTTGCAGCAAAGCACTGGGCATTTCGCCCTTCACATCTAAGGCTTCATGTCTTCACCTGGGCATTCTGCCCGGCTCCTTAGGCCCTGCCCGGTGGGCAACAGCCCTGGCTCGTGCTTTGCGTTGGTTTTTGGCTTTTCAGCTTCACATGTCACACAGGTAGGTTGTGCGGTGCCCTTCATTGACAAATATATTTTTTGGTTTTGCTTCAAAATGCATCGAAGGATTTCAACGTTGTTGTGCTCTCCACAATCCTTTGGTTTTTGGACTGTTGCGAACAGTCAAAGTGATGCCATCCCTTGCTTCCATGTGCTCTTCATTCCAGACAAGCAATGCAAAAGGTGTGACACCTGTTGACTGAGGTGTTGATTTGGCATTGTAAATTGAAGAGCATTGAGTCCTCCGACAGAACATGAACAATGAATCTTTTCTCACCCGGTGGCCCGAAAAGACGTGCATACGGGTCTATTAAGACCTCAGGAATGAACGAAAGCAACGGAACAAGCGCAGCAATGCTGGTTTCATTGTACGCACCGAGGAGACCATTTTTGATGTTGCTTTTCATCCGAAGGACAGGCTGTGACTCTTGGGATTTGACCGTTCCGGGTTTGAAGGTGGAATATGGTGTGTTTCCTTGTGCGCTGTGTGCAGGATAGGTAGAGTATCAGTAGCTGGTGTAAGAGGTAAGCCGAGAAAGAGCTGCCCATGTGTCATCAGAACATCCCAGAGAAGTACGACGGTTTGTAAGACGGTTTGTAAGAGCCGCATATCCTCAAGAAGTAGCACAACATTTTTGGGCATGCAAGTTGCAGTGGGTAGTCATTGTTTCGTCAATATTATATTGGTTAACAGAAAGAGCTTGTGGCCGTGCAGCAGCATGGCCAAGTTCCCTTGCAAAAACACAGTTGGCAGCTGAGGTGAACGAACGCCGTTTGAAGGATCATGACTTATGTCAAAGGATTACTGGAATCCGGTGTTGTTCGTGTAGACAGCAGTCTGGGTTGAAGCCAGGCGTTGCCATATTGAGGTCATTCATTCATTCGTTTATTTATATATTCGCACATTGTGCAATTGGTTTCTTGGAGAGTGGCCGTCCTTGCCAGTGCATTTGGGCTCAAAAATTTCTGACCAGAGTCACAAAGGTCAATGTCAAGAACTTCCTGGAGTACTGACTACTTTGTGCGATCCAACAAGAGTTCCCCACCCAGTTGTGTGCATCGGTCCCAGGATCTGAGCTTTCCAACCCGGAACTATGGTGGCCAAAGCGGAGACGTCACCCGCATCCCAGAACACAGAGAGAGCTTCTTTATCGGTGGTGATGGCTATTGTGCTTGCAGCAGGCGCTTGGATGGGGTGGGTCGTGAGTTTGGTATCAGTCATTGAACGCCCTCCAGCCTTGGCACAGTCACTTAGCCACCAAACCAGGGCTATTTGCAACAGCATCATTGGGATCGACTTGTATATAGTCAATATAGTCCCTTGGTCCGGAAACTTGTTAAGCGTGGGCGTGATACATTCTGTCTACATTGAATACATATTTATATTAATATAGATAAATGAACTGCGCAAAGGTATATATGGACACGTTTGCATAGTTTCCTTCGCTATTTTTGCTGTCCAACCGAACTCTCGTTCTCAAGAAAATTTTGGCTCGATATACTGAAAGTTTCACGCAAAAGAAACGTTTGCACACTTGTGTTGCGACAATTTTGTGGATTCGATTATGCTCTATATCATATTGATCATATTGTGAGATTTGTCACATTGTCCGTCCTAGAGGCTTGTTTTGTGCATCGCCCTCGCTGCCATGACCAACGCATTCTTTTTCACAGTGCCTGGCAGCTGCGAGAAGGGGACTGTTTTCAGGCAATTTGTCGCAACCTTTGAGTCATCACGGTACACAGTACACATGGTTTTGTGGAGGGTTGGCACATATGTGCTGCTACTATCCATATTGACCTAGACTCCAACGTTTATTTTGCAGCTGAGTTTGATTGAATTCCCGATAGAACTGACTGTACACGGATTTTTGGAGAGTACCATAAAGTCATGAGCACTATGGCAGGCTTACAGCACCCGATCAGAAAGTTTTGCAGCTCCCTTTGCCTCCGGAAGCGATGCCTGGTGCTCCTTGGAATCAAAGATTAAGCGTATGCAATAGCATCACAGTTTTTTGATATATACATATAATGTTGGTAGATTGCCTGTTGCGTTGCCAAATGAGGTGGTGTGCCTGATTTGTTTTTCTGTTGCTTGGCTTGCTTGCTTTTCGGTTTTCTTGTTTGCCCGGCCATTTGTCGTCCGTGTGCTCGGCTGCTTGCTTGCCGAGTTTAGTCAAAAATTACAATCAAAAACCATTGGGTTGTTTACGATGTTTATGGGCAACAAGAGAATGCAGTAGCAAGCTGGAGTAAAGAGTGTTGAAGGGGATGGAGGACAGAGGTCGGAGATTGCGAAACTACGGAGGAATGGGATTTTTGCCGTGCTATACACATACTTGCTGCGCTTTTGGGATTTGTCTCATTGAGATAAACACCCCCCATCACATTAACTCCCCTTTCTTTGATCGTCTCAGAACGGAAACAGCTTTGCAAGGCTTTGCACTCTTCCAGAAAACCACATGTGCCGACTCTGCAGCCATTGTCTCAAAGAGGGCCTTTGGGGGGCCATAAGGCCGTTGGGGCCCAAGGCCACCATGCCACCTCCACGTCCCGAGTCCCAGGAGCCAGAGGAGGACTCGTCTGAGGAGACCTCCTCTTCAGAGGCCGAGCAGGAGCAGCCACCGCCCATCGCCTCTGCAGAGGCAGCTGCCTCCAGGGCAGCGGCCTTAGCAGAGCAGCTTGCTGCCCGGACAGCAATCACGGCCATCGCCAAGGCTCCAGCGCCTTCTCCAGGCCGGGAGGCCCGCAACAACGGTTCGGCCTCACCCTTTGCGCGGCCTCGGGAGACCGGACCTTCGGTGGAGGTAGAGCCATTGATCTTAGAAGCGGAGCCACAGGATCTGGTGGTGATTGGCAACGCAGCGAACTGCGGCGCCTGGATTGGAAAGGCCATTACAGAAAGCCAGTTTGTGGCAGTGGTGAAGACACCCGTCGCACCTAGCACTTCTGTCATCGTTGATGCTCGACTGGCAGAGGAGGCTGCTTGACTGCATGGGAGCTACATAGTCTTTTTCCATGTCATTTGTAGAGCTACCGAGAAGCTAGGGTGACAATAACTACCATGTGATGGTTGCTGCAGTCAAATGTTTCGCCTCTCAGATAAACATTTGTGACCGCCCACTGGAAAGGCCTTGGGACTTTGTAGTTAGACAACTCATTTCCCCAGAGCCAGACCACAACCACTTTGATCAAACTGGCCTTTTTCACACCCACCTTTAGCAACAAACGGCCATTGCATCTTTCAATAGGGAAAAACCTCAAAGACCCACGGAACTTCCAGATCTGTGGAAGATGAGGCGAACATTAAGCCTGAGTTGTTACAGCGACGTTGGATGGCTTTGCGTGTCCGACGGCCCACCGGGGATCCTCGCTTGCCTTTGCGGGAGCTTAGTGCTCTTTGTGATCAATTGGTGCAAGCTGGTGTGGAACCACGAACCCTAGTGCCAATTGACTCGAGGAGCGTGCTTGTTTGATTTGCATTGATGCCCTTACATGGCAAAGGCATTTGGTTTTGCTTTGGTGACCCGGTTAGAGGGTTGCGATGTTGTTGCTATCAACATGCGATCAATGTCATCGTTTTTGTAGGAGCTACTTGCTCATGAGTCGAGAACATGTGCACGTCTCGGTGACCGCATTGGTGCAATGTGGCCATTTGGTGTCTCCAGCAAGACGCAACTTGGTTGGTTAGCTTACCCCTATTTTCCCTGCATCATTCTCTCCGCCGCTAACTGCTTCATACTGCCTGCAACAGGCTGCAGGGTACTGACAGCAAGCTTGTAATTAGTGGCAGGGCTTGTGCCACCAAAGCAGGGTTGCTTCACCCCTTCTCCTGCGACAAAACTCGTTTTCAACGGAAGCTTTATGTCATTCGCATGGATTTGGCTGCTACAGAAATGAGGCGTGGTAACTGCGATGCAACTTCCAGATGCTTCACCTGAATTGCCAGAGCCGCAGGTGCAGGGTGGAATACAATTGTGGTGCCAATGCATGAGAGGAATATGCACATTGACCAACCGCGGCTATACAATAGGACAAAGGGAAGCGATGTATATATGCAATAGTTGGTCATAATGTCAACTATAGTAGTGACAGATTTGATTGTGGAGCTGCATTGCATTGTGCCTTTAGTCACTGATACCCATCGAATTCATGCTTGATGGGTCTGCTTGGTTCTAGTTCTCTTCATTTGCATTTGTACACATGCTGATACTGACACTGAAAAGGTGAAACTGTGGATGCAGTAAACTTCCGCTCCCTTCTTCCTGAAAGGTGGGCGCATGGAAGTTGACTCAGCGTCATAGCCCAAACATTACAAAGGACTTCACCGGGGGAGATCTCTTCCAGTCCACCTTGAGAGTGCAGGCCGAGTTCGTCGGAAAGGAATTAAATAGTTGCAGTACTCAGTAGGCTTCCTTTGAATCACCATTGACAAATCTACTGACTACTGTAAATTATATATTTTTGAAATCAGCCTCGATATACACAGGCAAAGTGCGGCCTCTATGCTGAAGTGCGCGCAGCCGATCGCTCCGAGGCAGGAGAAGAAAGGCGGTTTTCACACCATGTTTTTGCTGCGTAGTGCCTGAGCAAACTTGTATTCTATTGCTGAGCACATTGTGGGAAGCCTTCCTTCCCCACTGCTATGTGCAGGTCTCCTCTGCATTCCATGCCCAACAAAGCTCCTTTGGCACGCTTCGCTTGGGTGGGGACGCTGGAGCTTGGCGGGATTCCATCGTGGAGTTCCAGCCATCAAAAGGATCGCCGCCTGCATCACTTCGCTTTACCATGCAATGCGATGACAAAGAACTGAAGGAGGAGACTGTACCGGCACAAGGATCTCAAGGCGCCTGGCAAAGCATTGGACTTGCCTTGGAAGATAAGATTCAAACAAGCTCCAAGCTACTAGGAACAAAGGGCATCGCTACTAGGAACAAGGACGCTACTAGGGGCTCCTGGCCTTACTACTAGGAGCAAGAAGCTACTATTAGACCTTTTTCCTATGTTTTTTAAAGAAAGGTGTCAGTTCGAACCGATCCTTCACGCATCGACCGCATTCGACCGTCAGGTGTGACTGAAATCTGGTCAAAGATCCCATTGTCTGAGAGGGTTACCGCTTTGGAGCTGGATTCTGATACGGCCAATGGTCGTGCTGGGATTTGGATGTTTGCCGGAAATCTTTTTCTCCGCATTATAGGTGCAGCCTGGCTGATACCAGAGAGTCTTTGACACCAAAAACATCAAAAAGCTATTGAACTATTACAGTGAATGCACCAAGGAATCTGAAAGAGGTCCCCAAATGTGTGGTCAATGAATGAGATACAACAGCATGCCTGTCACACACACATGTATACTATTGTATACTGTACATATGTGAAAGTTATTGCTTTGATTTTCTAGGAATGAAGAGTGGCACTGTGGCACTTTGTTTTAAGCATTTTTTAGCATCCAGCTGCAGGTACCACGAACCGAGAGCCTTCTTGGCTCCCACTGTTGCAGATCCTTGTCACAGCTCGAATATTTCCATGGGATCGACGCGGTTCAGAATGAGCTGCGAAACTTGCCAGACTTTTAGTGACATGTCTATGCTTGGCATCCTCACCTCATGGCGAATTGTCAGTCAACGTTTTCCATGTTTTGACCCGACGTGTATTTGATAGTGGGCCAGGAAAGTTTGAAGTGCTCGTGGGAGAAGTGGAACAACCTGGAGTCCTCCGAGCACATCGCTGCACGTGGCAGGATGACCCTTGGCAGCCACGAGATACACTTGGCCTTCTCTTTGTGTCACTCATATTCAATCCAAAGATGCAATGCTGATCCACTTAGATTCAACGAGATCAGACTCAGTGCATTCCTCAGGATGCAGTACCCAATCCTATAGGGCAGTTTCTTTTGGATGCTCGCCCCAACGCGGAGAGTGGTGGATCTGCGGAGGTGCAGCTGGAGAATGGCTGTGTTTTGCACCAAGATCCCGACGCTCGCCACTTTTGCAACTTCCTTTGTTTTCCCTTTTGCTTGACAGAACGCATGGCAGTGGCAGAACGCATTGAAGCTAGCGTGCGGCTAGCGGCTTACAAGTTTAAGTTGAGTCGAAGTGTCCATTACCAATATCAGACATGGCTTCACTGGTCCTGATGGTTACCTGATTCTCATGATTAGTTCATTCTATATCTGAGGATGGCAAACAGCTTCGTTGGCGCATCCATGAATGGGGCCCCGATCCCTTCACCGTACCAGAGCCAAGTGTGGAAAGCGAGCCAGAGCCTGCTCAAGACGCCCAGCAGGTCAGAAGGTTTTTGGGTTCATTTTGGGTACTTGCAGTTGAAGTCTGCGGTGGTGTTTGAAGAATCCGTGTGTCTTCAATTTGATGCATGTGTCCCATGCCTACAGGCAAGCGAGAGTGAGAGCGAAAGTGTCCGCAAGAAAAAGGACATTAAGGCGTGTGAAGACGTTTTCAAGTTGATATACCTTCCTGATGTTTTATAATTAATGGCTGAAGGGATCATTGTGTTTTCTTTACGTTTTCTGTCTTGCTAAGTGGCTTCTTCTGGGATTATGACATGTATGGAGAACAAATGTATAAAATGTATCGTGTTTTCGGTTTTGCCAGGTAGCTCCGTTTGGAGCTTTGACATGTCTGTGTGTGTATGCACAAGTGTACAAATGTATTATGGGATCCTCTTTGCTTTCGGCTTTGCTAGGTAGGTCCTTCTGGAGCATTTGAAGCCAAAGGGAACCGAAACCATTTTAGCCAAATGCCACAGAAGCCGACAGAAGCCATAGAACCACAAAGTCAAAAACCGCAGAAGTCATAGGAGCCGAAAGCCGCAGAAGTCATTGGAGCCGAAAGCCACAGAAGCCACAGAAGCCAAAAGCCACAGAACCGACGGATGCCAAAAGCCATAGAAACAAGCAATAACACATGAGACAAAGAAACAAGACAATCCAACAATAGAGACAAACAAAACCACAAATAAATTGCATTCCTTTGGAGTTGCACTGGAGCAGATAGTATGCAAAACAGAGCTCTTGAACACAAATTCTATACAAACAGATTCATTGTAGAGAACAATACCAAAATACATCAAAATACAATGTTATGTGCAAAAATGCTTGCTGATAGCTTTGGTTCCTTGTGTTGAGTGTGGACTGTCCATGGCGCGGGGACCTTTTTACACCGTGAACCCACGGGCTAAGAGCTTCACAGAGAGTCGCAGAGCTATATGGGGCACCTTGGACCTTCTGCCAGGCAGCATCGAAGGGTGCTGCTCCCAAGGGTAAGGCCAAAGCACAGGCTCAAAGTGCAAAAAAGGAGGAGACACAGTTTGGGTTGAAAGCTTGTTGTTGCCAAGCATAGCTTTGCCTTGAGTCCAACTGGCACGATGCGTTTTATTATGTTTGATTCAATCTTTTAAATATGATGTGTCTTCATCGTGAAATCCCATTAGGTCATGCTTCCGAGCTGGTATTGTACACTTTGAAACATGTGGCTGACTCAGGAGAAAGACTCAGATGAAGAGACTGAAGAGAAGACTGAAGAGAAGAAGGAGAAGGAGCACAAAAAGAAGAAACACAAGAAAGACAAAAATAAGGAAAAGGACAAGGAGAAGGATGATGAAAAGGATCGAAAGAGGGGCAGCAGTAGATCCAGATCCTCGTCTGAAGTCAAAAAGAAAAAAAAGAAAGACAAGTCACGAGGTCGCAGTGAAAAGAAGGAGAAGAAAGAAAAAGATAAGGAGAAGCGCAAGAAGAAGAAATCCCAACGTTCAAGAAGTCACAGCCGCAGCAAGCGAAAGAAGAGCAAGTCTCGACGACGATCCAAGCGCCGCAGCCGTTCCAAGCGTCGAGCAAGCCCGGAGAAGGCACGACGGAAAGTTTCCTCCTCCAGGGAACGAAAGAAGCCATCCTCCAGCGAAGCTAAAAAGCGAGAGAAGGAAGTGAGAGAGACACGGGACGCGAGGGAGAAAGAAAAGGACCCAGTATTTAATATTTGGTTGTTGATGAGTGGAGGAGTTGGTAAACCCACAATTGCTTCGAGGCTTGAAACGCCGTGAAACACCCAGCGAGGTTGCGTTGTGCTTACAGTAATCCCTGAATCCTGTCAGTCATGTTTGGCGCCATTTGTCAAGACTTTCAATGATTTTTTTCCGGGTTGTTGAAAGCTCAACCATGATAGCCTTTCTGTCGATGTTTGAATCAATTGCTGAATACACCTGTCGGTTGAGCAATGCAAAACCTTTCAGGACGTGTCCAAAGACAAAGCGGACACTCCAAGTGGAGATCCTGAAGATCGGGAGGCGAGATTGAAGCGCTTTGCAGAGCAGAGCAAGCTCATTCCTCAGGCGATGGAGGCATTGAGGAATCTGAAGCCGGAGCTTCAGGACAAGATCATGGAAGAGGGCCCAATCAAAGAAGGGGATGGGAATCCCATTATCGTCCTCATGAGGAGAATCAAAGAAGTTGCCGAGTGGGCTCAACAAGAAGCCGATCGGGAGGAGAAAAGACCACAGGCTCCTGAGACGACACCAGAAGAGGAGGTAAAGGCCCCCAAGGCACCAGCACCGCCCTCTGGTGCAGAGGAGAATGGTGAGGACATGCCAGAGGCTGACCAGGCAATGCTACTAAGAGCATCTTTGTACTGAATTGCAATATTTTTGTAGTGTTAGGAACCCGCTCTTGATATTAGATTTGTGCAAACAGAGCTGAGTTTGATGTCTTCAAATTTGGGAGCCACTGCTTCTTTCGCTTGTGTGTTTGACTATGCTTTAATCATTGATGTTTGTTTTTCTCCACACTTCCCGATTTGAGGCATTTTCTTTGCAAAATCAGCTTCCGGAGAGTGCCACGGAGACCTTGAAGGCTTTGCCAGGGGAAGTGCTGATGAATGTCCTCATGCGAGGTCCTCTAGATGGCGGCGACCCCATGGCAGCCCTTAGGAAAAGAATAGAAGAGGTGAAATGATCACAGAGGCCGTGTGGAAAAAAAGGAGGCATTCTTCCTTTGTGTGGGTCCTCTTGACCAATTCTTGGCACATCTTCCTGTGCAGCTTTGGGTAGTGGCTGCAGTGCAAGCTGCAGTGGAAGGTAATAAGATGTAATAAGGCAGTTCCATTTTGTAGCGTTGCTTCTTCTGCTGGTAGGATGGGGACCTGGTTCGCCTGCTTTGTGTGCCAAGGATCAAATCCACCTGGAGAAAAACGGAGATGGCAATTGGGTCTTCAAACACGTCCTCAGAGTAGGCGGGCGGCTGGGCGGGCCATATTCTTCTGGAAGTGTTGCCTTTTTCACTGAATCAGCCCACATCATGGTCATATCAATAACACCTGCATTATATAACTATATATATATATATTATAATTTCATAACTTCACCTACAGGCATAGTTGGAAACCACCAGCAGCTTCTCAGTTTGGTTCTCTGACAGATGACAGACTCACCATCCTGCTGCTCATGAGAGGGGTCTAGGCCATTTGTGATCATACGGTCTAGGCAATGTTCATCATATCATTCACTTTTTTGGGAGACTCGCAGGCCAACCTCTACCGATCACAAGCTTCACAATTCTTTCTTTGCAGGCGCAGAACAAAAGTCACCCGAGGTGGGATCCATGCCGGGACGTTTTGGTGCGCAGGAAGGTTCCTGGACGGTTCTTTGGAGCACTGAGCACTCTCAAAACTTGAAGCCATGCTTCCTTTACAATCTAGAGAGAGACGCCTTACAACAAAAGCATCTGAAGGATGTGAAAAGGTGTCCAAAAAACATAGTATTTAACTGCGAGGCGGCCGGCCAGCAAAGCAGTGCTGTTTTCTCCATTTGTTCATGTTCCACCAATATCTTTGGGAACCAAAGAGACAAATCAGCAACTCGCGACCATTTGCATGGAGTTTTGGGCACTCATGAAGGGTGCGATTGAACGTAGTCCAGCGGGCGATGTTGTGGAAGTTTCAAACCTTGGGGTCAATAGCTATTGAAAGCCGATAGACCATTTTGTCAATATGATAATCGTCTCTACACGTACAACCGTACAACCAGTTCATCAAACTGTATATGTGCATGGATTTGTATGCCTTTGTCACTGTATCGTCATCAATGCTATATACCTTCTGTGGATCAATGACTTGATGGATTCCTCTTTGACAAATCATAATAAATCATATATTTAAAGGCTTACGCCTAACAGCCGGGCGCCGGCCCACTTGGGTCTGTGGGGCGTATGTCACGCTTATGTTGGCCTTGGTGGGGCCTATATTGAGCAAAGTTAAGCTATCTGGCGCGCATCTTCGCCCTAGGTTGGGCCAAGTTGGGCCCATGTGGTCTATGTTGGGCACATCTTGGGCCCATGTGGAGCCTATGTTGGCCTATGTTAGGCGTATGTTGGCCTATGTTGGCCTAGGTTGGGCCTATGTTGGGCCTATGTTGGGGATATGTTGGCTATCTTGGGCCTATGTTGGGGATATGTTAGGCAATTTTATGTTGAAAAATCTTCCGATACAACTTTTTACGGATTTTCCTTCCCGCAAAGCAAAAACACTGGAAAAACCTACGTTTTTTGACATCGCCAAGCTGAAATTCTCGGTTGCCGAGGGGCCCGAAACCCTGTAAAACACAGTGTTTTTTTATACCTCACACACACGATACACTGTAAATTACAGGGGCTTCAGTGACCCGGTAGTGACGACGGGGTCCCCCCGTTTTCGTGACGAGGGTCGGCGGCAGCCGGCGCGACCGTCTATAACCTTCGGTTACCACCGAAGGCCCTCCGGGCATGCCACGGGCGTCTTGGCCGGCGCCGGATTTACCACCAGGCTACCGCCTGCAGCCGCCGACCCCAAGGGAAAATGTAGTGGCAGGGTTGGGTCCTGGGATGGTCGCGGGCGGGGTCCTGCCAAAATCTAGACAAAGCCAAGAGCATTCCTACGAAAATGCTGGAAAAGCCGTATAGGCATGAGTACAACAATGGAAAAAAAGAGGTTAGCAAAAGGCTACCAATTTTGGGGGGAAATCTGGGAACCTAAAAACAAGAGGAAGCGCTAGAAAATTCTTGGAAAAGCATCCAGCCGAAAACGTAACAAAATCTAGACAAAGCCTAGAGCATTCCTAGGAAAATGCTGGAGAAGCCTTTGAAAATCCCATAAATCCAACAGAAAACGTGACAAAATCTACGAAAAAGCAAGGGCATTGGCCGGGACCACGCCGCGACCAGCCCGGGATTCGAGCCCGGGACCATTTTGGACCGTGCTTATTTTCCCACGCGGGTCGAGAGGGTGCCCCAAGATGTAAATCAATTGGGATGGCAGAATCTTGGACAATCCAGGTCACCATTAGGTCGCTTTCCCGTCAAATCCCGTAGCTATCAGGTCGCTTTTAGGTCGGGATTTCGTCACTGCAACAAGGGTCCTGAGGGGTAGGGGAGGTAAGGTCTAGGTCTAAGGCTAAGGACTAGGTCTAAGGCTAAGGATAAGGCTAAGGCTTAAGTCTAAGGCTAAGGCTAAGGCTTAAGGCTAAGGCTTAAGGCTAAGGCTAACATCGACAGTCACGCCTCACCCCACGGTGTGGGGTCGGCGGATATAGAGAGAGGGAGTGGCTTTTGCTTACATGTAATATAATGTTTGTCCTTTTAATGTCTCTTCTTGGGACCCTTACACTCCTTGCACCCTGTTTTTACCTTCCTTTGTTCATTCTTTTTGAAGGAGTTGGCAAAGGACTTGCATGGCCCTGATGTCGTCAAGGCCGGCTCAAGGGCGTGAACTTCCAGAGCCATGAAGAATCGTCAATTTGTTGGAACCAACCCTTTCTAGGTGTATTTTGTGGTGAGTGGGTACGTATATATTTTGAAATTCACCATGATTTGGCAAGGTGGGAGACCATGGACTATTCCAACCATGAGTCTTTTGAGTTCTTTGATTGTGTGCTTTTCAACCCATGTCATTGCAAAAGTCGGAGCCCAAAGAATTTTTAAATTTGTTCGGACAAGCAATGACCGAATGCGACTATTGTTGCGATTTGGAAAAAACAGAAGCAACAACGCCTGAATTGAGAACAATGGTTGACATGATCGAGGTACATGGAATATAAGTTTGGCTTGTGAATTGAATCTTCAGACTTGCACATGTCCTACTTGCAGTCTTCAGACGCTGCACATGTACTCAGGTGCGCTTGGACACTACAAAGGGCCCCTTGATTCTGCGCTTGGTGCCACATTGGTCTCCCAATGGCTGCAAGCGTTTGCTGCAGATGGTGGACGATGGCTTTTTCAAGGAACAGCTGTCATTGTCAGCAAATGTTGACCTACCTGATGTGCAGTATGATTCACGGGAACATGTACTAGTGTCATGGTTTGGCATATGATTCAGAAGCCATCAATGGAGCCGGATTCTGACCAGGACATCGCGATTTATCGCGGCATTGAGAATTTTCTGTTGCAGTTTGGTGTTGCCACTTGCCTTTGTGTACCAGTACTAGTCACAAGGGCTCACTGAAAGTACGCTAGCGGCATGTTGATTCCCAAATTGTTCTGCCTGGGGAAGTTCATCTATGATCTTCATTTGAACATCTCCGACTCTAAGGACTCTAAGTAGGTAAAATGCACTTCATCGCAGTGGCTTTTTGAGAGGAAGTTACAGGTGTGGTTTTGTGCTGTTGGCCTCACACATCCCTTGCAACATATGTCCAGCTTGCAAAATGAATGTATAGGAACTTTCGAACGTGCAATGGAAGTAGTCTAAGCAAGTTGTGGACACCCTTAAGTTAAAGAATGGTCAAAGGGTCAACTCCACATTGATACTATGTACAGTTTTTGGAATGTATCGATAAACATATGGATGTATATATGGTTTAAATATATGTTTGATCGTTTGTGCAAACTATACTCCCAGACCCTTTGCAGCTCATGCGCGTAGAGCCTTTTGTTTGGGCCAGCTACTGTATGCATTTACCACACAGTCAGTGCAAATTGTGTAGAGTAACTTATTACCTTCCTCCAGGATCCTTCTTCAGCAAGGCTTTTTGATCTTGAGGATTTGAACCTTTACTCACCGAGCTGACCATGAGGTCGAAGATCCCAAGCGAGCGGGCGGCTATGAGAAGATCATGGACGATCCCTTGTGTGGCGTGCCATATCTCGAAGGCTGAATTATATAGTAGACTCAGTAGACCCACTCTGACTCACCTTGAAAAGTTGAAATGATCCGGTGGGTCTCGAAAGAGAGATGGCCAAGAATCAGAGATTAAAGTGAATTGTGTTGCTTTGCACCACGGTAGCAACGCAGCTTGCATTCCTCTATGTATGTATGCTATATTTATTGATGCATGTTGACTTGTTAGTGTACAGTATGGATATGTTTTTGTTCCTCCCAAGTGTGTGCAGGTATGGTTGGCTTTGCTGCAGCTGGTCCTAACACGCGGACCCAACAGCTGTGCCTATTCCTTGGTACCTTGGTTCCAAAAAAGCTACACAGGTCTTGAGTAGCACCATGTAGCACCTGTTGAGAAATAGTTTGTCTATACACATTGGAGTTGCTTCAACATCAAGTTGTTTACAGCCAAAAGTTTGTTTGACCTCCAGCTCTTAGGGTTTGATGTCAGGCAGTGCTCCCTCCTTGGGCAAGAACTCGGTGGAGACTCCCATTGGGCGTGTTGCTGAATGCAGCCTTGGCACTTTGCGAAAGATACAGCTCATGGGAGACATCCCGCAATGTGGAGGTCGAATTGCTCCCGTCGTGTCGGAGGGTCACCACATCGTGCTAAGTGACTAAGGGATGGCCTCCAACCTAATAGCGATGGCCTCCACCCCAAGTGACTGAGTGCTTCACATCGTTGTATCGTTGAGGCATTTTGTTGCGCGGTTGGCTCGTTGCCACCAGGCTCTGGCCCTGATCCGCAGAAGTTGGCCAACCTGGGAAATGCCAGAGGCCCAGTTTGTTCAGAGGAGCGGAAGAATGCCAACATACTGGTACAAATGCCATGCCATGCTGTTCCTACTTTTGAACTTTCAGGCCTACATTGCTGAGAATTTCCCAAAGTGTGACTTCATTACTGGAGCGTCACGTGTGCCTTGAAAGCCGGCTCGAAGCAAACCAGACCGTGATGAAGCACTTTCCAGCAATCCTGACAGGTTCGAAAGGGATGCTTCTAAAACAGCAAACCTACTATTATTGAAACAGTAAACCTCTGCGAAGTGTGTTTTGCCTCTTCCCTGCACTTGTTTATGCTCTCCTCGAATTTCACTGCTTTATTTTGACATTCTCGTGAGTCACAATTGTCGGTCTTTCCTTAGCTTTTGTCGCGCTTTGCTGTCTTTGCTTCTCCCCACTCTTCGCTGATATCCCAGCTTTGTAGGCTCTTTCGTTTCATCAGCTTGCCTGCTCATTCCTGACACTTCTTGTGACAATCTTCATATTTGTCCCTTTGTCCACCTACTCTGTTCCAAGTTTTCTCATTTCAGTCATTTTAATATAGTTCCGACTGTCCTTTATTTGTCGTTGCTCTTCTTTGTCGACCTCTCGACTTTTCTTACCCTCTTCATCCACACTTCTTCAATGTGCCTATTGAGTCTTCTTGGCAGCTTCGCCCCTGAGTGCACAGCTGACCTGGATTTGCTTACCAGGGGCCCTTACCACCTCCTTTTCACATCTTTTCATCACTCTTTTTCCTTACTAGTAGTAACAAGAAGCTAGTAGAAACAAGTGCCACGCTAGTAGTAACAAGTGCCTTACTAGTAGTAACAAGTGCACTGTGCCTCAGTTCAGTGCAATCTTCCTCGCCAACACCAATTCCAGCCTCACATCCTCCGACACCTCCACTCCACAAATAGACAGTGTTGCCTGTTTGTGATTCGTACTCACTTAGACACTCTTCTTGCTTCCACACGTTTGGAATGTGGTAGTTTCGCTTGTAGCTATACGGTGCTGGCTGGAAAGGGAGGTGTCACGCATGGACCAGAAGTCCTGACATAAATGTTTTGAGATTTCTGATGTCGATCTTCCAGCAATGCAAGGTTCAACAGTTTTGTAATGTACAATTTTAGCGAACACGGATGTGGCACCAGAAGTTCTGTTTCTACAGGACCACATGTCAACTATTGCACGGACCTTTACTCATCGTTGGTTGGAGGAAGCAAATATGGAGTCAATGCAATGGCCTCCAACCTAATAGCGATGGTCTCCACCCTAGCAGCGATGGCCTCCAACCTACTAGCGATGGCCTCCAAAAACAAGTCAATAATTGTTTCTGTCGCTTAGTCTCAAGCCTTAGCCAGCGATGTATAAGTTTATGCTTAAGGATCCAGTTCAATGTCTAACTTTCTGCGTTGAATCATTTTTGCAACACCTTTCAAATGAGCAGATGCTGGATTCGACCTTGCAGCACATTGCGCTTAATTCACTCCGTGGTCCTTCGCAATTAGAAGACTTAGCTACATAGTGCTATAGACATAATGCAGAGAGGCATTCGCACGATTTAAAAGTCCGCTTGTCCAGAAAGGGTTTCAACGGGAACCAGCAAGCCAGAACCGATGGTTTGGCGTGCAAACTTTGAACATTTTACAATTTCGATATCATATATATATATATAAAATTTAACACACAGACATATATATATATATGCACACACTACATCCATATACTACTGTAACCAGAAGCTATAGGTTGCTCCCTGGCTTCCACGATTCATTTCGGCACGCTTTGGCTATCCACTGCATATGGCCTGCAGCTGTCTTGCCGATCATACAAAGGGGCCTGCAGGGCCTGAAGATGAGATACTGAATGGGTACCGATTACACTCGATCATTGTTGCTCTTAGGCCTCCAACAAACTAGTCTAATCAAAGGAGTGGTTCAGTCAGGACATGTCTTTATCCTAGCCATCACGCGTTTTCCTCACACCTGTCTACAGGTCAAATCTTCTGTGTGACACTTCTTCAACGCATGGATTCACGTACCAAGCTGGAGTGCTTAGGCACAGTGGAAAGTGTAAGGATTTGTGAGTTCATTTAAGACTTCATTTGATCTTGCTGATGGCTCCTGATCCGCCATGGGCAAACCGAAGCCGTGCCTTTTGCCTCTCTCTGCCACAACGGCCAGAGCGATTTGCAGATGCCAAAGCAGCGTTGCAGGCCAAACCTTTTTGGAGGCTTTCTCTGTCAGCCAGAGCTAGCTTGCAGTGATTCTCAATGCACAATTGAAATTGTTTTTAATGGTTCTTCCTCCAACATCTTGTGTTTGGAGTCCAACACCCCTGCATGGGGCACTTCACTTCGATCGCTTTCTCTCATGCATGGCATTTATGGTCACCTGTACAGAGCACTTGCAAGGCAATCCTGCTGCCGATTGAGCTGGAGATGTTCCCTGGAGTCTATGGAGACATAGCAGCACAGAGAGCCAGAGAGCATTGATGTGGCTGCCTGTGCTAAAGAGCCAACCAGCCGAGAGCAAACTAGTGCCCACAAAGAACCAGAACCTGGACGTTTCATGTGTATGGCATGGTATGTAGCAGGGTGCAGGAAAGAGTTTCTCGCTTGCCTATTCTGCATTGCTTGCTGTGAATGCGCATGCTATTCTACTGCAAAAGAGGATTCCAGGTTCAGGTTTTCCTCCATTCATCCGCATTTGCAAGTGGGTGTTGAGAGAGAAGACATTGTAAAGATTGGGCAACGTGGTGAAGTTGGCAGAAGCAGACCACATTCTCGCGTAGACACCCCATGTTGATGGTTCCCGCTTAATGTGACTGTCCATCAAGCGCTGCCAAAAACAGAAAAAACTCAGTTCTGCAGGCATTCTTTGTTTGCTCGACTTGCTTGTGCCGGGTGAACGGTCCTCGGAACATATTTGCTAGGTAGGATACATGGCCTTGAGGGAGCACCACTGTGTTGAAGAACGTTGTTGTGTTTTGTTTGTCGATCAAGGAAATGATTTCCGTCACCATTTGCCAGACTTGGATGCATTGGAAGAAAGCATGGGATGCCGTTTGTATCGACAGTGGCCAATCTGCGAGGCGAGGATGGTGAGGAGGGCTGGACATGCAGGGAACAAACAACTATCGTAAGCGAAGAGACATGTGCCATGCTCATGGGGCGGCCCAGTATAATGAATCCTTTTGACGGTGCTTTCCGAGGTGGAGGATGTACTGCAGATGAAGCCAGAGTTGCAGAGCTTGCCTGACTGGAAAGTTTGGGAAGCCTACATTAACTGGCACAAATGCTGGATCTCTGATCGCGCAAGCAACTACATTGACTTTTACAACCGTCACCTTAAATTGGGGGAGGTAGCAGCTTGCTTGGGACATTTCCGCCTTTGGCAGAAAGCCTTGGAGGAGGATTTAGATGTTTGCCTGGTCTTTGAGGATGATGCAAGGCCAAGTACACTGCTTTGATTGAGTATGATTGTTTGCAGATACGGGTCTCATAAATCTTGCATGGACGGGAGACTTACCGTGTGCCCCGTGTGTGACACACTTGCCGGTTCTTTGCCAGAGGAAGTAGACACTGCTCGGAGTTCTCCACTCTGGGCGAAGTACCTCAGTCGGCATCGACCAACTCTAATGCACTGTCCAAGGTGTGGATGCAGTGCAGCGGCTTGTTTCAGAACTGTCGGCTTTGGAGGCAGGAAGTGTGCAATGGGACCTCATTTACTTGCACTCCGCGCTTTACTCCAAGGCTGCCGAGGTTCCTGTGTCTTGGCAGACAGTCACAACACTTAGCTTGAGGCAGCTGGGTGTTTTTAGAACTGATAGAGCCTGAGAGATGTAACTGAACCAACCTCACAGCTTAAAGAAGGCAGGTGCGATTCCAGAATTGCTTTAGAGCCTGAGAGAACGACAACAATAAGAGGAACTGCACGATGACATGACATGTTCAGGTGCCCTTGGCACACAGAACTTATACTATTTGTTTATGTAATTGTTGCATGTTTGTTTGTTTGCTGCTCCAAACTCGAAAGACGTTTATTATAGGTGGTAGTTATAGGTGCAAATGTGTTCTTGCATGGCGCTGTCAGGTTCCAGGCTGTAAGGAGCTCTTGGTCGCGGGACACCGCAAGTGGGCAGGGGCCTATGTCGTGTCACGAAGGGGGCTGGACAAATTGGTCTCAAGCGGCTATGACCAATGTACTTGGGCAAGGCACTCGTTGACCATGTCAATTTGTTTTGCATTGAGTGCAATTCAGCCGTTAGTGAAGTGCACACCGCAGAATGCAAGTGCACCGTACTTGGATGTTCGGATATTCCCTTCCGTTCTGGACCGTTCTGATGTCTTTTGAGATTTGTGTGATCCTTGAGGTATCTTCCCTGTGGATGACTTCTTGCCCGCTTTGCACTCCTTTCATCCACGCCCAGACATACGTGAATTGCCGTGTGTGTCCAATCTTTGCGACAACTTTGTCGCACTGACCTTCCCGCAGGATGCCAAGATTGTTCAGGTGCATGGGGCCTTGGGGGCCAAGATCGTTGTATTATTATTATTGTTTATTGTTTCAAGGGTGGGGGGTAGGCCGCTAGGAGGTAGTAGCTAGAGGTAGGTAGCTAGCTAGTAGCTACAAGTAGCTACTACTTAGGACGCAGGATAGCTCACGCTTCCCGCCGCCCTAAAGGCAGCGGAGGGAGCCTCCTTGAAGAAGCGCTCGCACTATTCATTTGGTTCCTAGATGTTTAGTTTAGGGAAACTTAAACTATATTTTATATATATATACATATATCGATCAAAGACGTTAAATTTGAGACTGAAAGGCATCCCAGGAAGTTCGGCCAACAATCATAAGAGATCGCAATAAATCGCAGACCGAGACCAGGAAAACCTTTTTATCTGACTTATTTGACAATTAACGTGTTCTGACTGAGTTTAGAATCTAGAAGAAGGTTGTTCATGGCACCGCCGCCATTAGCGGCTGTTGGGATTGTGCATGATTTTGCTACTTTTGTCAACTTTTAGGTTTAAATGTGTTTTGGGTTCCTTTGAGGTGGGTTTTCGGGTGTCACAGTGCTTCATTTCAGGATGCCTCCACCGGTGTTTTCGTGGCTTGTTTTCTTTTCAATGGGGGAAGGTTCGGGTCACCAGGTTGCTTTTACTTGTAGGGGTTCCAGTCAGGTTCGGATGGTTTCTCCGTTGTCATCGCGCTTGGTTCGCAGTTCTCGCTTCGTTCGCGTCGCACCTCGGCCGTTCGTTTGCCATTGTGAGAGCGTGAAGCTTACCGAACCAACCGTTTCCACTCCGCCATGCTGACGGCTGTGGAGTTCTTTGAGTTCTTCTCGCTGTTGCTGGCTTTGCATCAGCTACAAGGAGTGCCGTGGGATTACCTGCTCAATGAGTTGGCTTTCTTGCGTCAACTGACTCCGCTGCTAGTGATGAGTCGGTTTGAGTTGTACGTACGCCAATGAGTTATTCAAAAAAACAAAGAAAGACAAAGTAGATCAGCTGGACCTGCAGACAAAGGCCACAAAAAGGAACATGAAGGGGCCACTCCGGCCAGGAATAGTTCAGCTATGCTGTGGCGCTGCTTGCCTGGTTGTGCCTCTGCTGTTGCTTTGCCAGCCTTTCGACGTCTTCGGGGAAGTCCTCTTGGATAAGGTCGTCAACTACCCTGGCCCTTTGGGCCCCCTGGCGCACAGCGCCCGTGCCGCAGCTATGGTGGCAGATGAGCGCGGAAGCAGCTTTGCAGCAGCAGCCGCGGATGCAGCACTGTACGCTAAGTCACACGGCAGTTGGAGCGCTGTGTGTCTGGGCATGGGATGAAGCTTGGGCAGGGCTTACCAATTGACGATGGCTACCATTCTGAACTCGATGATGAACCTGTTGAAAGCAGTCTCTTTAGGCTCACTTGGCTGTTTTGCACGGGTTTGTTTGGTTTTGGGCTTTCACCTTCAATCAACCCGCACACGTTCTGCGGACTGGGAAGGTTCGACGCAAAAGACGACCAAGATCGCACTCATGTGTTTTTCCCCTTCCTTCGTGCACAGTCTTGCCCAAAAAGGGGGCCGGAAAGGCTCGGAAGTGTGGCAAGAAAAGATTGCCAAAGAATCCATGCACTGGGAAACTGGGAAAGGCCGACGCTCAAGGCGACAAAAATCGCAATCGTGTCTTTCTTCCAATCCTTCGCGAACAGTCTTGCCCACAAGGTGGGCCGGCAAGGCTCGGATGTGTGGCAAGCAACGCTTGCCGAAGTCATGGAAGTTCACTTGCAGGAGACGAAGCGGAACTCCGGGGAGCGTTGAGTTGCTTGACTTGTCTCCCTGTGGACCTGCCTGCCATCATAATATTTACCCGGCTGCGCACGCGCGATCCATGTTCCAGAATCAGGTGGCGTCAACGCACGCGACGCAATTCATGGAAGCTCACTTGCACGCCAACCTTCAACATGTATCAAATACCGTGGAAGGAGGAGCAGGTGGAATTGCTCGAACAAAACGGCGCCGTAAACAGAAGATAGGTGCCTGGGCTGCCTGGGGCAATGAAACCAACAATTTGCTGAAAAGAATGTTTGAATCAAGGAGGTAACCCGCAGGTGCAGCAGCTGGCTCAGCTGCTTAGTTCTGCACTGCTGTCTAAGGACAGCCCGGCAACTCAAACCCAGAACCAGACCTGGCACGCTCAGGATTGCCAGATTTGGAAAGGACACCGCTATAAGGTTGACCCCACCACTGGCTGTGGGCTTGGCTTGGTACTGCCGACCAAGGTCAGAGCCTGCGAATTCCGACAGCGACCGACAGCTGCCAGACAAATTGATCTTGAGCATCAACCCTTTAAACCCCCGAAGCTTGTTCTGAAGGAGGGTTTAGATCGAAGCTACCACAAAATCACCTTCTTACGAAAAACTGATTGGGCCCCCATGGTTGTCCCCTCCTTAGTTTCCTACGGAAAGCTTGAGCAAGGCCGTAGTTGAGATTTGGGACCCTGCTATAGCCTTGATGATGTGCTTGCGTTCGGTGATCCGGGTCCCCTCACTGTTTTAGGCACTTGTGATCTTGCGGGTGTTGGAGGACACCCCGCTCGAGTTTCCATTTCCCTAGGGAAGTTTGGCTCCAAGCTTGAACCAGTGTGGCTCAAGAAAGTTGGTTCCAGAACAGTCCCTGGGTCTTTGACCCAACCAAAGTTCAGAAAACTGCTTTGCCAAGGAGCGATGATGTGAACTTGGAAGGTGCTGGGGAAGCTGTTAGTGCAGTTTTCACTCACTCAATACCCCTATGTCCGATTGCCCTCCCTGCATTCCTCTGCTTGGAGTGCTGCATTGGCTGGGCGCCAGTTACATCCACCGTCCCCAAACTGTTCGCCTCGCTCGGTCCGTACGCATCCTAGGTAAACAGCCGTCTAGACCAGTACGGAGAAGAACTACGTATAAGCGTGCGCTCAGTCCTGTTGAAAAGCGCGGGTTCGCTTTTTGTACACAGTTCAAAACTGGTGGTAGTCACGTTGACCTGATAACATTCCGATCTTCAGTTGACTTTGATTCTTTGAGTCTTGGAACCCGTCACACCACCTCTGAGCCACTGGAGGATGTCTTGCTGAGGATCCTGAGGTCATTCATAATTCTCGGCAGTTTGCACAGCTGCTCAACGTTGGCCTTGAACCTCGAGTGTGCATGGACAGGTCCTCTTTGCGAATCTCGAATTGAAGGAGCTCCAGGGGCGAGACAGCTCAGTTCCCGCAGATCTTACCACCTAGAATCTTGGCATCCTGATGTGGATCCTCACACTGTGATCTCAAAACTACAGCTTTGCATGTTGAGCCTTCCTTTGATGTGCCCAAGCAAGCTCAAGGGTGGACCTGTCCTTGGTGCCCTGCGGCGCCACTGAAAGGCCTCTCGAAAGGCGCAGATGATCCTGATCTGTGTGCGCAGATGATCCCCTGTCCGGGAAGCTCCGAGCAAGGACTTTGATCACGTGCGCTCAATGCTTCAGAATGAGCAATGCTAGTGGGGATTCTCCAGGTGCTGGGAGATCTGGGACCAAAAGGTGGTCAGCTACGGAAAGTTCAAATTTTGCCCTCCTTCTTGCTACTTGGCAAGTTTTTCAGGAGGTGGCCGACGAGGGCATCGTTCCTTCTCAGTCCTCAGCGGATATAGCCGTCTTGCTGGCCACCGCTATGAACGAGTTGGCGAAGCAAAACTCCCGGGCCCTTGTCCTGAAACTGCTGGCGGACCTTGCAAAGCAAAGGAACATGTTGGGTTTTGTCACACAGAAGCTTCAATCTTTGCTGGAATTCAGGGTGGTTCCCAGCTACTGGTTCTTGCTGTCAGTGGATTGCGCGCTGCAACCGGCTATGCTCCGCCGGATCGCGCGGGCGCTCCACGAAGTGATTTGTGTGTGTTTGCTTCAAGACTGGTCACAGCACAGCGCTCAACCCTTCAATGAGGAGCCAGCTGACAGTCAAATCGTCACTCATTTGGCCAGTGGCATCCCTCTTCAGGTTTTCCGGCTGGAAAGGACACAGAGAAGTTGATTGTTTCATCACTCATCGAAGCCTTGATTTTAGTTCACCTTCTCAAGTTTTGTTTGTTCCTCTTAGGATCAGTTGGCTTCATCAGTTTCATGAACTCCAAACTTTTCAGAAACCTGCTGGGCTTGACGTTGCTTCTTGGCGGCAGACTTTAGGCCTTTGTTGGGAGACCTCCAGATGTAGCTTCTTTCCAACATAAATACATCTTACAGTCAACCCCGGTGTCCGAGTTGAGTGGGATAAGTTTCAGCTGGCCCTGAGATCCAGCGGGATGCCCTCGGCAAGGCCCGCTCCAAACCTACCAAGGGTGCTGAAGCTAAGCGTCGGTGGCAATCGAGCTGATGTTGACACTGACACCTTTCGGTTGAGACATATGAGGAAACGGTTGGCCTGCGTGTCTGAAAAGGCTTCATGTGCTTGGGCATCGACATGAGCGTCCTGTATACAGTTCACTTTGTCAGAAACTTGAATTGTCACGACCTTCTCTCCCCTCCTTGAACCTTGAGATTTACACCCTCCATGCTGATGTACGGACTCAAAGCAAGAACTTGAAAGCACGGCGGCTTCGCACTTGGAGACAGAATATGATTGATGTCAAAAGTCTTGGGAAACGGCTGAAGTCCAAAGGAGAACCTGCAGTCTACCACATCGAATCCGATGGTTCCCCCACGACCTCTTTGAGTGAATGGGCGCCAGTTATCCATTGGTACTGGGACAACTTTTGGATTGAACGAGCTACAGATGCTCAAATCCGTGATCACCTTTCTCGAGATCTTCCACCACAGAAATTCTTTGAACAGGCTGCTCCAAGCCATGAGCTCCTTGTCACAACTGTCCGCCGACAAAGAGGCAGTGCTGGGCCAGATGGATGGAGCGCCGAAGAAATTCGCCACCTTCCCGAAGGGGCGGTGGGGCTTTTTAGGCAACCGGCTCTTCTTCCTTAGTTTCCACCGCCCCAAAAAGATTAATTGCCCACAGTTTAGTCATTGG